GCATTTCTTAAACCAGTTCATACGCTTTCACATCTCTCTTCTTATCCCTCTATCATTTTGTAAATTTGCATTAAACATTCCAACCTGTTTCAGTCATGTACAGCAGAGGAAAGAAAGATAACATGTTCTTTTTTTTTTCTTACAGATTTATTTATTCACCTGAAAGGCAGAGTTACATAGAGACAAAGACAGAAAGAACTCTTCCTCTTCCATCTGCTGGTTTACTCCCTAGTGGCCTCAGAGGTGGGGCCAAGCTGAAGCTAGAAGCATCTTCCAGGTCTCCCACATGGGTGACCAATCATTCAGGCCAGCTTCCACTGCTTTCCCAGGTGCATTAGTAGGGCTGGATTGGAAGTGGAGCTGCCTGGTCTTGAACTGACATCCATATGGGATGCCTGTGTTGCAGGCAGCAGCTTTACCTGCTGTCACAACACATGGCCCCTATATGTTTATTCTAGGGCCACAGTGCTAGGGGTGAGCAGTGTACCTCACCAACTCCCAAGGCTAAAGTGTAGTTGCAGTGGAAGTTAAGAATAAACCCCCAAATTAAGGAGAATGACCTGGAAAAATCCAGAGCCCGAAATCTCCAGATGGGTATTGGTCTTCCTGGCTACTCTTGGGGAATTTGAGTTTTATCTCATTAGTGAAGGTAGGGGTTACTTTGCAGAAGGCTTCAGAAGATAAGAATGCATATGCTTTCATGCCTCTCTTCTTTGGACAGTATGGTTGGAACACCCTGCCTCCAGGAACATTTCCAAAGCCAAGTTCAATACTACTGTCTTTGAGAAACAGTCTCACCCTATCTTTCAGCTTCTGTATGGCACTTTGGACACTTTTTTTTTTTTTTAAATAACACTAACGCGTGCTTATGTCTAGGCTAGCAAGCCTGGGTCCTAGCTACTAACTCCAGGTGAGCTGTGATAGTGGTAGCAACAATTAGTTAAGCGTTGTAAGGGCTCAACCTTCAAAATTCAGCTCAGTTATCATCAGCATGTACTCTGTGAAGGCTTTCCTGACTTCTAGGCTTGATAAGATATTTCTTCTGTGCCAGTTTCATAGCATCTTATTTGTGTCTTCATTACAGCACTGAGTTCATTATCTGATGACAATTTTACTTGCTTATCTGTTTACTCCTGTAGACTAAGCTCACTGATGAGTTGGAATAGAGATTCCTTATCTTTACACTTTCAGTGTCCAGCACATAACAGAGGACCAATTCGTGTGTGTGAGTGTATTTGTATGTATTGGTAAAAGCAATATATCATAAAAACTTACAATTAGAATATATATTCATATAATATAGAATATATAATAATGATAAAATGAAATGAACACTATGAGAAACGGTGACTTGATCAGCCCTCACCCTGACTGTTGATGAGCAACTTGATATGTTATCCCTCTTAGTATTTTTTTTTGTTTGTTCTACTTAATATTTTTGGTTGAATACTGTAATCAATACACAATTCTTCTTAAGTGCTGAAACTTAACTGAAAAGTGATCGTTGTTAAATATAAGAGTGGGAATAAGAGAGGGAAGAGATGTGCAATTCGGGACATGCTCAAGCTGACTTACCTCAAATGGTAGAGTTAGAAACATACCAGGGGATTCCAATTCAATCCCATCAAGGTGGCATGTACCAATGCCATCTCACTAGTCCCAGTGATCAATTTCTGTTCACAATTGATCATAATGATAGGACTAAGAGCCAAAGGGATCACATAAACAAGACTAGTGTCTGCAAATACTAGCTGATAGAATCAAAAAGGGAGAGAATGATCCAACATGGGAAGTGAGATACACAACAGACCCATAGAATGGCAGATGTCCTAAACAGCACTCTGGCCTCAGAATCAGCCCTTAAGGCATGCGGATCTGGCTGAAAAGCCCATGAGAGTATTTCAGGCATGTAAAGCCAAGACACTCTGGGGAAAAAAAAAAACCTAAATGAAATCTCAGCGAGTGAGATCCCAGTGGAAAGAACGGGTCATCAAAGAAGGAGGTACCTTTCTCTGAAGGGAGGAGAGAACTTCCACTTTGACCATGGCCTTGTCTAAAAATTATCAGAGTCAGTGAACTAGGGGGCTTCCATAGCCTTGGCAACTCATGACAAGAGCCTAGGGTGATTACTGATGCCATAAACAAGAGTGTCAATTTGTTAAGTCAACAACAGGAGTCACTGTGCACTGACACCTCATGTAGGATCTCTGTCCTTAGTGTGCTGTACATTGAGATTTAATGCTATAACTAGTACTCAAACAGTATTTTTCACTTTATGTTTCTGTGTGGGAGCAAACTGTTGAAATCTTTACTTAATGTATGCTAAACTGATCTTTGGTATATAAAGAGAATCGAAAATGAATCTTGATGTGAATGGAAGGGGAGAGGGAGTGGGAAAGGGGAGGGTTGCGGGTGGGAGGGACGTTATGGGGGGGGAGCCATTGTAATCCATAAGCTGTACTTTGGAAATTTATATTCATTAAATAAAAGTTTAAAAAAATGGAAAAAAATAATGATAAAATGATAATGGAAATATATAATTATTTTTTATTTCAAAATATAGTCAAAATTTACTGCAAACTAATAGACTAATAGACTAATAACCTTAGGATAAATTGATATGGCAGTCATGGAACTCTGTATAAAAAGTCTCCAGTCCCAGACAATTGATACATAAGTTCCACAAGATCTATAAAACATTTTCCAGAAAAAGACAAAAATCTGTCATTAATTTTATGATTTTACATAATATTAATATCATGAAAGGACAATACAGTATAAGAAAATTAAACTAAATGGGTTTCACTTATGAGGCAAAAATATTAAATAGCACCAAAGAGAATTCTACAGTCTATTGAAATGACTGTCATGACTAAATAGGATTTATCAAAGGAATGGAAGGATGACTCAACTTTTAGAAATATGTCAATTGTAGCCCACTATTATTAAAGGAAAATCATTCATTTCATATAAAAACTCTTCCTATAATTAGACACACATTTTCCCTACCCTAATGACAATAGATCAGAAGGCTACAACACATTTCATGTGAATTGTTAGAAACAATAGGGTAATGTCAAGGGCAGTTATCAAAGATGTGACCATGGGAGAAACAACAGGATGAGGAGGGAGATGAGCCAGCCTCATGCAGAGTTCCAAGCAGTCTGAAGATCTTAGAAGTAGAGTGGGAAGAGGCAAGAATGAAGGGCAAGGGGTTGGGTGAGATCAAGTAGAGAGAGAGAATAAGGTGAGAAGAGAACCTAGAGCACAGCACCAAGGAAAACCATAGTAAGGTAAAATCTTCAGTTTTCTAAATAGCAAAGTGCTGGTTTTCTATCATCCTTCCCAATCAATTCCACTGAGATATAGCTGAACTGGACTAAATCCATCAAGTGATGCTTAGCTTTATCCCCTGTTAGAGTTCTCAAGTCGTTAATTAAGCACTGGTTTTGAAAGAAAAGCAGAGGAATGTGTCTTGATCTCTTCCTGAGAAATTCTTAGGGACATACTGGAAAAGGCTCCTGCCATATGATTCAGGACTCCACAATACATGTTAGATAGAGGCCACATATGCCAGGTGTTATGTCACATGAAGCCCCAAGGGTTCATGGCTGGGAAGACCGGTCCCTAGTGTGCCAATGTTGAGAAGTGTTGGGATCTTTAAGAGGTAAGGCTCAGTGGGAGTTGGTTAGGGTGTTAGTGGTACTTCTCTCAGAAGGGATTAAAGTAGTTTTTATGGGATCCTGAGTTAGTCCTCTACAGAGTTGTTAGAAGACTGCCTCTCCCCATAATCTGGCTTCTTGTCCTGTTGTGTGATCACTTGCCCTTCATTTCTTCTTATCAAAATGGCATCTTTGATGATGTGAGGTAGCCAAGGGGACCCTCACCAAAGGGAGTACCATATTGTTCAGACTCTCAGACTCCATAACTGTGAGCTAAATAAATCTCCTTTCTTTATACTTTGCCCAGCCTCAGATATCTTATTATAGCAGCAGAAAACTAAGTATGGCAGGGATTCACAGACAATTTGAGCAGAAAGGGCTTCTGAAGCTCTCTAGTAGAAACTCCTCATCTCACAAGATGAGAACAACCCTGCACCAGGCCAGCTTATAGATACTTTGTTTAGAACCCAGTTGTCCTGAAGCCCCATATAGCATTTTCCCCACCATGTCACATTACCATATTCAGTGAATACCTTATTCAGTGAAAGTCTCAAATAAATGGGTTTCCCAGTGAAACATTATTTCTGTGGGAGGATCTCTTTACAAAAAACGTTCCATGTGGATTGGAGAAATGAGTGCTTGCCCCAGAGAAGCTTCCAACACCAAAATGAAAATCTCTAAGACTATAAGATAAGAAATTCTGAAGTAAAAAGCAACTTCGTTGTTTACACTGTTGATTATTCAAATTTCTTCCTTTCCTCCTGAAACAGATTAAAAAAAATAAAATTTACACCTCTGAGTTTTAAGTGAAAGGTACAGAGATAATACAATACTCTTGCCCGCCCCATGCGTAATCAACACCTGAGTGGTTCATTAGTTACAACTGGTGAGCATGCATGGACAGATTATCATTCAGTCCATAGTTGACACTAGGATTCACTTTTAGTTGTTCATCCTGGGGCTTAGAAACATTCATAGTGACATATTTATTTGCCAATATAGGATCAGATAGTTTCACTGCCCTAAAAGTCCTCTGTGTTCTGCCCATGCGTCTTTCCCTTCTAACCCCTGTCAACCACTGATGTTTTTACTGACTCCAAGGTTTTGCCTTTCCCAGAGTGTCACACAGCTGGAGCCATATAGCATGTAGCCCTTTCAGACTGACTTCTTTTGCTTGGTAATACACATTAAAAGTTTCTTCGTGTCCTTTCATGGCTTGCTAGTTCATTTCTTTTCGGTGCTGAGCAATAATGCTTTGTCTGTGTTCCACTGACATCTACTTTGAAACTTCTACTTCATTTTTATCCTCTAGTCATTTTATTATTGAAACGCAACCACACCCTGGAGAGGAGCTGGGTGATGAGAAAAAAACTGGGAATTGTGTTTTCAACTGAAGCTTGGGGTCTTTCTGTGGATAATTACCCATGTCCCACTTTACCAAAGAAAAATAGATTTCAAGTAGGATACAAAGTAATTCTTTCTAAATATGTGACAATGAAGAGATTAGCCCTGGGTACTGGGAGTGTTTGCAGGAAAAATCTTGCCTCCCAAATGCATCAGACTGAGATGAATTATAACGGGGTTCACTAAATTTTATTCTAACATTGAAGAGGGGAAGGAAGGAAAGAAAAAAAGAAGAGCGAGTTACAAGAATAAGGTATCTGAGAAAAAGAAAAGACAGAAACATCATCCAAAGGACCTTTTGAGCAAGATATTTTTCTTCCTTTTACAAGTTGGAAGCTACTGAATAATTCATGCCAAGCGTGGAGAGGCTGCCTTTCCCTCGGCTGATGTATAACTGAGCAGGAGAGCGTTTCCAGTGGGTTCACCACATCAGCCACCGCTCTTGCCTCTGAGCACAGGGTGCTCTCCTGAGCTCAGCTTCTCTGCTTCTGCAGCCACGCACCCTTGCTGCTGCCTGCCTGCCTGCCTGCCTACCCACCCTGCCACTTCACTTTCCCCAGCGCTGCAGCTGCTGGCTCCTGCCTGGGACCATGTGTGTGGAGGCTGCTTGGAAGAAGCGGGCACTTACTTCTGGCACTGATCCCAGCTGAGGCTCTCCTGTTGCTTTCTGGACCACAGATGCTGCCGCTGAGGAGGTACTCCCTGGCATCCCTCCCTCTGCTATTGCCAGCCAAGGACCAGCCCCAAAGCAAGGTACCCTCCACTGCTTGCCCCTGGCATTTGTCCCAGCTGGGATATCCCTACCGTCTCTTGGAAACTAGGGACCCCAACTAGCAATATTCCCAACTGGTGTGTGTGTGTGTGTGTGTGTGTGTGTGTGTGATGTGTCTTGAGGAAGAAGAGGAGACCATTCCTGGCATTACTGTGCTCTAGGGCTTCCCTGTGCTGGCTGAACGCAAAAGGGACCTTTCCCCTGGCACTGGAGGCATCTCCCAGGCAGGCACCTGTCACCCGCCACCCCCGTTCTCCCGGAGCTCTCTTTCTGCCCCTCCTCCAGCCCGTGACTCTGCTCCAGCCCTTTGTGTGTCGGTGGCAGAGGGCTGAGGGGTGTCTTCGCCCTCCTGGCAGGCAGGCAGGTGTCAGGATGGGCCGCGCTGCGAGAAGCCGCCGTCGCTAGCGAGCGAGGTGTGAAGAGTCGGCCAGGATGACCAACTCCTCGTCCACGTCCACCTCCTCCACCACGGGGGGGTCGCTGCTGCTGCTCTGTGAGGAAGAGGAGTCGTGGGCGGGCCGACGCATCCCCGTGTCGCTCCTGTACTCCGGGCTGGCCATCGGGGGCACGCTGGCCAATGGCATGGTCATCTATCTCGTGTCGTCCTTCCGAAAGCTGCAGACCACCAGCAACGCCTTCATCGTCAACGGCTGCGCCGCCGACCTCAGCGTCTGCGCCCTCTGGATGCCGCAGGAGGCGGTGCTGGGGCTCCTGCCGGCCGGCTCTGCCGAGCCCCCCGGGGGCTGGGACGGCGCGGGGGGCAGCTACCGCCTGCTGCGGGGCGGGCTGCTGGGCCTCGGGCTCACCGTGTCCCTGCTGTCCCACTGCCTCGTGGCCCTGAACCGCTACCTGCTCATCACCCGGACGCCCGCCACCTACCAGGTGCTGTACCAGCGGCGCCACACGGCGGGCATGCTAGCGCTGTCGTGGGCGCTCGCCCTGGGCCTCGTGCTGCTGCTGCCGCCCTGGGCGCCGCGGCCCGGCGCCGCGCCCCCGCGCGTCCACTACCCAGCGCTGCTGGCCGCCGCGGCGCTGCTGGCGCAGACGGCGCTGCTGCTGCACTGCTACCTGGGCATCGTGCGCCGCGTGCGCGTCAGCGTCAAGCGGGTCAGCGTGCTCAACTTCCACCTGCTGCACCAGCTGCCCGGCTGCGCTGCCGCCGCCGCGGCTTTCCCCGCCGCCCCGCACGCCCCCGGCCCCGGCGGCGCCGCGCACCCGGCCCCGGCCCAGCCCCTGCCGCCCGCGTTGCAGCCGCGGCGGGCGCAGCGGCGTCTCAGCGGCCTGTCGGTGCTGCTGCTGTGTTGCGTGTTCCTGTTAGCCACGCAGCCACTGGTGTGGGTGAGCCTGGCCAGCGGCTTCTCGCTGCCCGTGCCCTGGGGCGTGCAGGCAGCCAGCTGGCTCATGTGCTGCGCCCTGTCCGCACTCAACCCGCTGCTCTACACGTGGAGGAACGAGGAGTTCCGCCGCTCCGTGCGCTCCGTCCTGCCCGGCGTCGGCGACGCGGCCGCAGCCGCTGTGGCCGCCACAGCCGTGCCAGCCGTGTCCCAGGCCCAGCTGGGCACCCGCGCCGCGGGCCAGCACTGGTGACCCCACCGCGGGGCTCGGGAGTCGGAGATTCCCGGTTTCCGACGTCCTTGGCCGCCATCGTCCTATTCCCCCTTGATGCGTCCCCTTGTCCCCGAGAAGACTCCCGCCGGGAAGCCCAATAAACAGGTGCAAAGATTTGGCCTCGGACCCCAGTGGGATTCCCGAACCAAAGTCTCCCTGAATGGGGTTCCGTGAGTCCTTCTGGGAGGCCATCTGATTCTTACCCTTTGTGTCTGTGTTTTAGAGAAATCCTAAGTCAGTAGTACACTGGAGACTTTAAGAATTTGAGAACTGGCGTCTTAACAGAATCGGTTCATTTATTTCAAAACTGTTTTTGCAAACGAGCTTTCATAACATGTAACTCTTCCCACTTTCATAGTCTTAGAATATGTATGAAGCGCCTTGAGTGTGCATGAGCCAAAGGAAATAATTCTGAGGAAGGAAGTAATAGGGGAGAAGCCTTGTAGAAAGTAATCTGTCTTGAATGACGCTCCTGTTACAATTGAGTCTTTGTTATATTAACCTGGAAGGGTGCTGGAAGGTGAAGCTGCAACGCGTGCACCGCAGGATGAGCTGCCTTTAAGACCTGAAGCCCTTTATTTTTAAAAGGGTTTTTATAAAGTCATCATCGAGTAAGATGCATATTAGCCTGTGAGGAAAACAAATCACCGAAATTTATTACTTGAGACTTTTTTTTGGCACTCTTAAGATTAAAATTTGGTATTGGGTATTAAAGTGAAAATTTCTGGTTTGATAATGGATGGTCTGAGCCAGAATTGGGGTTTTGAAAAGGGATAAAGGGGTTATCTATTTTAGGTACCCATTTCACAGTTTCTGTAGCATGCACATTTGTTGCTACTCTTATTTTGTAACCAATTCATTTGCCTTATGAATGTGACTGCAGCTTTGAACATTCTGTACTACAATGGTTGTTTCGGAAAATAAATCCTTCTGTTTTCTCTTTAACATTTAAAATATCTCAATGCACATGATATAATTAAACACTAATGATACCATGACTGCATAGCTAACATTAGCTGCTAGTGCATGCTCCTAGATGCTAGAACTTATTGGGCATGTGGTGTGCTAAAGCAATACCCATTGGACAAGGACATTTTACTTCGTCACCAGAAGAAAAGCTCTCCATTATTTGAAAAGACACAGAAACACCTCTGGCTACCTAAAGTTCTTCTTGTCTTGACCCAATTTATGAGAACAATTCCCGTGTGGGACTCTATCTCATAAATGGGACCGCAGGCAAGATGGATCAATAATATGGTTTGGCTGGGCAAAGCCATCTACACTCTGTTAGAGTTTAAACAAGCCACACACTAGAAAGCATCACTGTTTTTGTGTAGTTCATGTAGGTTACTGTGACATTTAACTTTAACGTTGTATCATGTCTGTTGAAGGGGGCGTAATAAACTGTTATAGATAATGAACAGTTCAAATGGGAATCTGCTCTAAAATATGTCATCTGTGATTTCTCATTTTTGTCTCCAATTTACTAAATTTATTTGGAAATATTTGAAATGCAAAATCGTGTGAAACCACCTTATAATATTAAAATGGGAAGAAAACAGCTTTAATATTTGTATCAGTGTTCTGACTGCTAATTAAATCAAACATGCATCAAATATCCTCAATTGACTGTATAATTCAGGAACAAATTAGCTTGTTTTGCTGCACTCTTGGACATTTTAAGTCAGGATATAAGCAACACCTGTGCGTTTGAATACTCGTGGGAGTTGCAGGAAACTTTGGCATTTTTTGTAGTAAAATGAAAGAAAGATGTTCGTCACCAATAATCAGCAGTTGTTTTATTAATCTCTTCCCTTTGTGCATGCACCATTCCTTTCTTAAGGGTTCATCTGTTCCCATTTTCCTTGACTCAAATTTAATTAAAGTTTAGACAACTGTACTTCTGAGGTTTTTTTTTTTCCCTTCTGTCTCTGGTTTTCTTGCACACCTCCTTGGGAACACTGTAACAGAGAATACGACATTCCAAAGCACTAGGGATGACAGTGACTTCTTTTTACTGGCTTTAATTTTTATTTTTAGTTTCTAAAATTATCTCTACTTTATATAATTAAATAAGGTCCGTCTAGCAGCATTAAAAAACTTTGACAGGGACTGGAATTGTGGTGCAGCAGGTTAAGCTGCTGCCTGCTATGCCAGCATCCCATCCCATCCTCGCTATTCTACTTCTAATCCAGCTCGCTGCTAATATACCTGGGAAAGCAGTAGAAGATGGCCCAAGTGCTTGGGCCCCTGCCACCCATGCTGGAACCCATGGTTCCGGGCTCCTAGCTTGGTTGTTGCCATTTAGGGATTGAGCCAGTGAATGAAACATCTCTCTCTTTATCTCTCCCTCTCTCTTAACTCTGGCTTTCAAACAAACAAAAATACATAGACCTTTCAAAAAAACAGGCAGAATTCCTTTCTTAAGCATTGAGAACAAGGCTACAACAACAGAGAGCTAAAGGTTTTCCTTTCCTAGGTGGAGGTGGGGGGGCATTTTTCTAAATCTCTATCAAAAAGATCTTCTTTTAACTAGGGATTTATCCTTATTTCTCAACGTAGATGCTGCTACTAATTCCCACTCTGTGCCTATCCACATTTGCCACACAGACAAGCTTAGCTTTTCCAGGGTTTACCTGGTATCTTGCAATGTTTCCTGCTAGCACTGAGAACCATCTTTTGCTGGCTCCATGCCACGTGGGAGACCTACTTTAGATTAATTTACTGGTAATTAACTCCGCAGGACTGATTCACTTTTAATTTCAAAGTAGCAATGATGTGTCTAAAAATGCCTTCTGAGGGCACTAGCTGTGAGTGTTGGAGCTACTGCTTTTACAAATTAAGTTAATGGAGATTGTGTCCTTATTTAAATGAAACCACATATTATCCACTCAGGAATAAAAAAATCATAATTGCTGTTGTGGGCTGCCCTACTTTGCTTTTTCTACTTTTTTTTTTCTCTTTTAGGAAATGCTTATTACAACATGAAGTACTTGCTGATGTATTTTAATGGCTAAATTCTAGATGTAACTCATATCATTCTTAGCACTTCCCTTCTTTGAAAACAAGGCGAATAAACACAAATCCTGTTTTGTACAGAGGCATCCTCAGATGTTCATAGTCTTAATGGCTATAGGGGAGTGCCAAGATCAGACACATGGCTATATCTCTGAATTAGAAAGATTTATAGAGTGGGAGTACTGTTCCATTCACAAGGACCCAGAGGGAGGGTGAAGTGGAAGTGAGGAAGGAGAGGGATCCTGAGCAAGTACTTGAAGAGATCTGCTCACTGATGGGATGCTGGTTTGCCTTGACCATAGAGTACAGGACAACTCTGTCCTGCTGCCAGTGGTATTGGCTGACATCACTATTTCATGCACAGCCTTTACTCCATCTCCCAAGAACTCAGACAATGCTCATGGGGTTTTTGGCAGTCCTGTGAGCTGACTTGAGAAAGGGCAGCAGTGGCATATGTTTCAGTGTGGGAATGTTGATAACAATTGTAGATGTCCTTATTTTTGAGGTCTGTCTTTAAGGTCTGTGAGTTGTAGGGCAAGAGAAAGAGCTCTACATGCACATGGAGCCTTTGGTCTGGGAGAATATGGGGGACCTTTTCTCCTCCTCCTCTCTCTTTTAATACCTGCCAGGATCCTATGCACATGAGTGCCACTCAGCCCACAGATCCAAGCTCCACCCACATCCCTCTCTCAGTCGGTCACCTTACCCACCTTTGGGCTCTGTTAGTACATGCATAAAGGTCAGAGAATGCCCTGGAAATAATAATAACATGGAGACAACTGGACAGGGAATTCCTGGGTTCCAGGTACCAGCACCTGTTGCAGAAGGCACAGGGCTCTTGTGGGTACATTTTCACAGGTCTCCTCTCCTTGTAGGAAAGGTGATCAGATGAGGGTGGATACAGGGTCTTCTTTTTAGTAAAACAATTATTTATTTGATAGAGAGAGAGGGAGAGGGAGAGAGGGAGAGAGGGATAGAGGGAGAGAGGGAGAAGAAGAGAGAGAGAAAGAGAGAGAGAGAGAGAGAGAGAGAGAGAGAGAGGAGGAAGCCTGTTTATATCTGCTGCTTCACCTCCTAAATGCCCATGTTAGCCAGGATTGAGCCAGGTCAAAGCCTGGAACTGGAAACCCAAGCCAGGTATCCATAAGGGTTATTAGGGGCCCAAGTTTTTAAGCCATCACTGCTGTCTCTAAAGGTGTGCACTGGCAGGAGGCTGCAATCAGGAACTGAATCCAGGTACTTGGATGTGAGGCATGGGTGTTTTAACTGGAATCTTAACCACTGAACTAAATGCCCCCCACACCCCCAGTAGGTCCTTTAAGGCATGAGACTAGGTTGGGACACCAGTTTCTCTAAGGGCAATATTTCTTCCACTGTTGTTTGTACATACGTCCTCTATGGCATGTTTTCTTAGTGTGTTCCATCTCCAGGAACTCCTCAAACAAGTGCCACACATTGAGTTTCCTTGGCTGTTTAATCACACAAGGCCAAATGCAACAGGTGAGGAGGGAGTGAGAAGATGTAGAAGAAATAAGAGGTTGGAGATTGATGGGCTCACGGTGATGCATTTCACTGTTCTATTTTGTGCATTTTTTGAAGTTTTAAATAATGAAACATCCAAAAAATGAAACCAAACTAAATGAGAATAGAAGAAAGGAAGGAAGGAAGAAAGATGAAGAAGACCACAGAATGATTAAATATAGAAGGTAGAGTTGAAAACTTGGTCTGACTCCAGAGCATGAACTTGTAACTACTGCAATGGGTAATAAAATCAGTTTTTAGTGAGGTATGGAGCTCCCTCTGAAAGGTGACCATTTCCTGAGATCCTAACCCAATTTCTCCCTTTGCTGCAGCCTCAGGGGTGTGTATACTGCCTTCCAAACATGGCCCTTGTCCTGGGTGTGAGACTCTAACTCATTCAAGGACCTGCTTGGGGTGTCCTACTTTTTACCAGTCACCCCACCTCCATCCTTCCTTCTGGGGAGCTCATTTTGTTCCTTCACATTAGAGTCCCCCCACCCCAGCCATACACTCTGCACAGAACGCCCACCTCACTGTGCTCTTCCCACGCATTCCCTTGTGTCACCTCTTTCTTAATGTGTTTGCCTTGTCTTTAAAATGGGATAGGAAAATGTTTCTTTTTATTTTGGGGTGGTGTTATTTTCCATCCCTCCCTCTTTTTTAAGGAAAGATACTTTTATTCTTTTGTTACCGATTACCTGAAATAAATGTTGAACATACTTTTGCGATTGAAGACAGTACTTTTAAAAGGAAAAAGATTTAATTCTTTCTCTTGCATATTTATTTTCTCTTAATGAAATAGATCCAAGATAAATGCTAGTTTCCAACTCATGTCGTTTTTTTAAAAGATTTTATTTATTTATTTGAGAGGTAGAGTTATAGACAGTGAGAGGGAGAGAGAGAGAGGTCTTCCTTCTGTTGGGTCCCTCCCCAGATGGCCAGAGGTGGGCCGATCTGAAGCCAGGAGCCAGGCGCTTCTTCACCATCTCCCACGTGGGTGCAGGGGCCCCAGGACTTGGGCCATCTTCTACTGCTTTCCCAGGCCATAGCAGAGAGCTGGATTGGAAGTGGAACAGCCGGGACTCAAACCAGCACCCATTTGGGATGCCAGCACCACAGGCAGAGGATTAACCTATTGTGCCATGGCGCTGGCCCCCCAACTCATATCTTGATATCTCAGAGTCATAATGTGTGGTATTACGGGCAAATATAGATCGTTTGAGAGTGATTTGCTATCCAGCCATTCCCAAGCCCTGTTTACACCCACTAAAGTAGCAGTAAGTTTAAGTTCTAACTATATTAGATTTAAGCTTGGATTACTCAAGATGTATCATAATTTTTGGGGGTCTTGCATAGAAAAGTTGTATCACTTTGATATGTAAAAGCCTTAAACATTGATAATCAATAGTCAGGCAAGGCAATTTTCCTAGAACCCTGGGAGAATCAACCATAAGGATGTCTTTTAAAAATATTTTATTTGATGGAGGGGGTTGGGGAGAGAAAGGGTCTTCTCTATCTGCAGATTGACTTTCCAATGCCACTAACAGCCAGAGCTGGGCCAGGCAGAAGCCCAGAGCCAGGAACTCCATGGCAGGGACCCTCACAAGGTGAGTATTAGCAAGAAGTTGGATTGGAAGTGGAGGTGGAACTCATCCCAGGCACTCCAAGTGTGATGGTATCACAAAACTCCCCACCTCCGTAGGGATATCTATTCCTCTTTTCAGTTCACTGGATAAAAGATCCAGAAAAAAGTGCTAGAGATCACACAGGCCAACTTCTTACTATTTATATTCGATAGGAAGTGCTTTGATACTTAATCCTTTCTGATATAAATTAGGCCCATTGGCAATTTTCCTATTCTCAGAGGCAGAATGCTATGTGTATTATAATGCTATAGCAAATTCTGTTCTGTGAAATGTCAGAGTGGTAGAATCTCCCATTACTACAAAAATTTGCCTTCATGAAAGTTTTATTTACTTCAAGTTTATTTTTTTTGACAATAAATACCTGTTTTCAAAGAAAATTTGTAAAATACATAAGCACAAAAGAAATGCTATCATCCACAGTTTCACTTCCAAAGATTAGCACCCTTAATGTGTGCTGCACTCACCACCTGTTTTCCTCTCTTTTCCTTGTCTATATACTTGATTATACACGATTACAGCCAGGAAGTATGGACTAACATAAATTTCTGTATGTCTGTGTATAGTTATCTATGAAACAGCAAACATAATCTAATGAAAGATGTTATAAAGTAGGGCAAAATGAGAGTGTTTGCCACATGTGTTGTAATACTTAGAATGTGTTCATCCACAAGTAACAGACTATCGAACAGGAAATAGCTGAAACAATGATGAGGTTTAATCAT